GTGTGTGTGTGTGTGTGTGTGTGTGTGTGTGTGTGTGTGTGTGTGTGTGTGAGATGAAGGGTGGGTTAGGCAAGCAGTCCCCAGTGGCACCAACAGAAAATATTGTTTGCTTGCAAACAAACAAGAGAATCAGAACTTAAGAAAGCTGATGATGTCATGACTATTTCTAACCCCACTTAAGCATGTTTAGTATTTTCCAAAGTAGCTCATTTTGGTTGGTAATGCTTACTTAGCCAGACAGGAAATCTCAAAAATGCCTCCAGAAAAGTTTTGGAGGGGCCTTTATAGTCATAATAATCAGTAGCTCAAAACAAACAAATGCAATGTCCAAGGAAGGTTCTAGAACATTGACAAGGCCCCTCAAATGCTGGGATTCTGGGTGGGTTCAGGGAAAATGACTTTTCCCTTGGCTTCTCCTTTACTAGCAAGGAGTCAGTTTCTCCAAACTTTCCCCAGATGATCACAGATGCAAATGAAGGCTTTTAACCCAGTTCTTTCACCCTCACTTTCTGTTATACCTGGAGTTCAGAGGTGTAAATTCTCTGGTACCCAGGGAAAACCTTCTGTAAGATACAGGATGATGGTCTTCCTACTGAGCCTTTGTTAAGTTCAAATACGCAGAGAGGCCAATCCTGCTGATGACACATTAGGCAAGTGAGGAATGTAAAACATTAATAAATCTCACACATCTCTCTCTCACACACACACACACCAATAATAATAATAATAGTAACTTTTAAAATGAGAAAGCAAGATGTCTCAGGAAGTTAATGTAATTGCTTACAAGCCAAGTGAGCTAAATTTGACACCTGGAACCCATGTAAAGGAAGGAGAGATCCAACCCCACAGAACTTTACTCTGATGCCTGCACACACACACACACACACACACACACACACACACACACACACAATACCAGTCAGTTGCTGTAATTCTAATGTCTGATCTTTGATGCGGGGGGGGGGCTGTCCCAGTGGGAAATGCAAGCAAACAGTGGCTTTTTCCCCTCATTTACTAGTAAAAGCACCACAAGCCCATAACCTTGGCATGAAAGTGCTGTCTTCTTGCAAGAAAAACATTGCTTAAAGTTCTTATAGCACTTTGGTTATAAAGATGAGCTAATGGGATACCGAGCCCTGCCCAAATGCTCGGCGGAACAATGGTAGGGCACACTCGCACAGATCCAAACTGTGTCCTCTAAACAGGCACAACACTCTGTGAACACTGCCACGAAGCAAAGAATGTACCAGGACTGTGCAAGGCTCTCAGTTCTGAGAGTGGAGCATCACTGACTTCTAAAGATATGTAATTAAAGCTATAGGTTAAACAACCATAACTAAAAATTTTAAAATCAAAACTAGTTGAAAGCTCTGTGATATGAGTGTGTGTGTGTGTGTGTGTGTGTGTGTGTGTGTGTGTGTGTGTGTGTGTCTTCATGTGCCTACGTGTAGGGCCCAGAGCAAGCTGTCAGGAACGTTGGCTATCACTCTTGGTCTTGTACCTTAGGACAGGGCCTGTCACTGAATCTGAAACTCATCCCTTTTGCCAGGTTGGCTGGAAGCTCTTGGGATCCACCTGTCTTGGCTCCTCAATGCTTTTTTTTTGCATTTTGGGGGGGATTTGAACTCATGTCCTCATGCTTGTTCTGTTACCCACCGAGCCATCTCCACAGCCCTTAAGGTTTATGATACTTTGAAGTATCAGTCTTAAAAGTTTTATATTTTTTATTTTAAATTTCAGATTGCCTGATCAGGGATGGTTGATCAACCGGTAAAGTCCATGCCAGTATTTCAAAATCTGAGAAAATCCAAAATCTGAACAATTTCTGGTCCCCAGTAATTTTGAAAGGGATATTCAACTTATATTGATTGTATGTATGTTGCTATACATATTTCCTTTTCCAGGAGTTCATGTAGTTCATATACTAATCATTTCCAATAATAAGTGACCATCTCACAAGACATCTCTTTCTCTTCCTTATGTCTGAACTGGATTTTTGCAGGACTGAGCAATTGCTTAACCGCTTTCACTGCCTCTGCTTCGTTTCCTTTTTAATACAACATTTTTATTAATTCTTTGAGAAATTCATGCAGTACATCTTGATCATCTTCACCCTCACTCTTCCCTGGCTCCCTACCTCCATGCACGCTCAGACTTCGCGTCCTCTCTTTTCTTTTTTAATAACTTATCCAAGCCAGTGTGTTGTCCGTATACTCCTGGGTGTGGAGTCCCGTGCTCGAACATGGTCCTCACTGCGCGTCCTTACCCTTAAGGAATATTGACTGTTGCCCAGAAGCCACCACCTGTCCGGACTGCTTCCAATTCTTAAGTGTAGAATATATCTTAAAATGAACTTTAAACGTGACTTTATGTTGTTAAGCAAGAGAGAAATACCCAAGGAAACCAGTAGGACAAACGAGCTTTCGTAGTTAACACTGTCCACTTAAAAGAAAATTTCCAAGCACTTCATAAGATGTCTCTCTATATAAACATGTATGTATATGAGCCTTTTCCAAAGTAATTATCACTTTTCTCAAACTAATCCTTTGTAAAAGATGTTCCCAGCCTCACTGAATGCAACAACTAGCATTTCTTTAATGTTAAAATCCACACTTCACTTTTAATCTCCTTTGCTAGCCCTGACGCACACCCCAGAGAGGGAGGTTTCACTGCCCTATCTATTTGCTTTATCTTGCAGACCAGTTCCCCAACTCCTCCCAGAATGGAGCATGCAGACAAGTACAATATCCTCTGACGGATCTGTCCCCCATTGTGACTAGTGGAGACTCTGATATATCCAGCCCGTTACTACAAAATACTGTTCACATTGACCTCAGCGCTCTAAATCCAGAGCTGGTCCAAGCAGTTCAGCACGTAGTGATTGGACCCAGTAGCCTGATTGTGCATTTCAATGAAGTCATAGGAAGAGGTAAGTGTTTCCACTCAGCTCTCTGTTAAATACAATTTTCCAGTAAGACTTTTATCTCCTCTTCTGCAGATTAAGAACTTAGACAATGCAAAGTCCCCTGACAGAGCACTGATAATGAGGTATTTGAGTTTTGCCCTGCAGAAATGCAGACCTGAAAAGCATATCCATGGAGACCGCACTGTGCATGGAAGATGTTGGATAGCATCCCCAACATAGGAGGAAAGATCTTATTTCTGCCTCATATTTCTCACACTAACTACAGTTTCTTGGAAAGTGTCACTTACTTTCCCATAAAAGTCATGCTGATTTTTTTTCACTCCTTTATCCCTTCAATCTTTCTTTATCCTAAGAGCAGTTACAATGTCTACAAAGTCTAGTGTATAGCAGCTTATGCACTGCTGGGCAGCATCAGAATGCAGGGAATTGATAGCCCTCCCCTGATCTAAGGCACCATACATCATCTCCACAATGCACTCCAATTTCTTCACACAAAGAGCTGCAATAAGCTATCCAGAGCATCAATAACTGCAAACATAAACGCTATTGGAGGAAATACTTGTCAGGAAAAGAAACCAACTAGAAACCACGAGATAAATTCTACCATAAAATCCTTAGTACTGAATGGCTTCTGCTTGCTCTTATTCTAAATGCTCTGCAGGAGGTTGTATAGGCCTCTGCTGGGATGATGCAGGAGAAACGGATGGGGTTATTGGTGGCGTGTGAGCACAGGCTCTTCTTAGCATCCTCTGTCACACTCCAGAGCTGAGCTCTGAATGAGAAAGTTGTTTCTTCACGAAAAGTGGCCTCTGTGCACCAGTGAGTACCTGTGTTGTATCACTGGCCCTGTAAAGCCGGTAGGTGTGCCAGTGTGTTTGGAGTGTAGAGCCTCACTAATTATATTCTCACTCTACATGCTGTAAAATCAAGACGTTTTTATGATGAAAGGTATCAATGTGGTGATGACTTCTCCGAAGCCACACTCATTTACAAAGCTATCAATATTAATTACTGCTTGTTTATATGACTTTTTCCATGGGAAAACGTGAGCACTCATGAGCATGGGTTTTATTGTATTCATCTTTGTGTCACAAGAGGGTAGCCCCATACCTGCTACTCATATTCAATGCACTTAGGATAGCTTTCCTGACTCCATGAATCAAATGAATGACGTACCCAGCTATCAGACATTTGACACCTCTGGGAAAAATTACTGCCACTGTTGAAAGGCCACCGTTGGGGAAGCAAGTGAGTAAAGTCAGAGGGAAGTTCATGAGTGAGTCAGAGTGAAATTGGCTTCACTTAGTCAACTGGCTTTTGATTCCTGCCAACCTGGCTTATATATTAACCAGTGACTAACAGGGGAAATCCTTACTGCATAATACCTTATTTATAATCATTTACTGGAATGTAGAAAGCTTATTTTATTCTTATTCAAGTGGATAAAATTATTTACATGTTTTCTTAAATATTATTTGATCTTTAAAAATAGTAAATCTCCTTTATGCAGAAGGTATTATTGTGTTCAGAGGTAGCAATGATTCCATGTTTTAGTATATTAGCCTTTAAAAGAAGCCATAGTACCTACAATTTTCACCATATATTAAATAATCACATTGCTTATACCATGGAGAGAAATGTATTTCATCTATATTTATGTCCAAACACGTGTACGATAAAGAGTTGTATTATTCAAGTGTCATAAGCAATGTACCTTTGCCTTACAGAAAAAGAGAGATGAAGGGCTTGATAAATAATTATTGCATTAGCCAATATCATATAACTTTAATCAAGTTCTCTTTCAATAGGGCATTTTGGCTGTGTCTACCATGGGACGCTGTTGGACAGTGATGGCAAGAAAATTCACTGTGCTGTGAAATCCTTGAATAGTAAGTTGTGTTTAATAGTGAAAGGGTGCATTTGTGGTTTATAAACTGACAGCCTATAATGAAGTGTTGATTTACACTTTCCCTTGTGGAAAAAATCATCTGCTGCTGAAACTGTGGAATTAATCCTGAAAATATGTTTAGTCTAAACACTTATTAAGGTAGTCCCTCTGAAATTAGCCCACGGAGAGCTAATCGGTAAGGGAGTGAGAGCAGTGAGTCTCTTAGATGAACTGAGTGTCATTTAGCCACGTTACACTTATAATATTTGTTCTGCAAATGACATTTATGGAAACTATTGGAAGCACGTTGGCACATGCCATAGTAATGACTCACTTTACCCAGAGACACTACTGTCATTATTTTTTTAACCACAAATTTCATTTTCAGAAAGAAAGATTAAAAACTGAAATAGTGCAATCGGGTGAAATGTGCTGGCGGGAAACTGAAAAATCTTAAGTATGATAATTCCTCACTTATCCACGTGTTTGGGGAATGAGGTGTTCCACAGAAATACATTTCCTAAGAAAACCCAACTTGCCCTTTTTTAATGAGGCAGTGTTTCCTAAAGGTTAGCTGTTAACTAGAAAACTCTTAAGATGAAGGGCACACACTCCTTAAAAACCAAGGCATATTTATAAATGCAAACTTAGTGTTTCTTGATGCAGAGACATAATTATGGCGGGGGGGGGGAACCAACAATGGGCAAGCCATTGTTCTCACCATCTAAGAGGATTCCTGGCTCCACCCTTGTAAAAGCAAGATTTTACAATACTTTCTTTCTAATTTTGTAATTTTCTACTTTAGAATTTGAAGCAACCTGAAAAATGTTAGCCAACCTTGTTACCAATTTGTATTAGAACTAATAACCTTTAAATGTAGAATTAGTAGGAAGGAAGAGGAGGACCTCCCCATCAGTGGATTTGGGGAGGGGCATGCGTGAAGAAGGGGAAGGGAGGGTGGGATCGGGAGTGGAGGAGGGAGGGGCTTATGGGGGAGATACAAAGTGACTAAAGTGTAATTAATAAAAATAACAAGAAAGAAAGAGAGAGGAAGGAAGGAAGGAAGGAAGGAAGGAAGGAAGGAAGGAAGGAAAGAAAGAAAGAAAGAAAGAAAGAAAGAAAGAAAGAAAGAAAGAAAGAAAGAAAGAAAGAAAGAAAGAGAATTAATGGGTTTCCCTGCCAGGTACTCTATCCCAGAACTGCTTCAGCTCTTTTACATATAAATCGAATCTCCATGGTGAGCATCATTCTGGATGGTTTTGTTGGATATTCACCACAAAATAATTAAAGGGACAGTCCACATTGACTCCTGAAGCCAACTGTGCTAGATTATGTATACTGATTCACCAACTGGCTTCAAAGGAAAGCGTGCTGCCATTTTCACTCAGAACAGCCCTAACCCCAAGAAAACGCTCTGTCCCTGTTATGTGGTTATTGTTGTCAGTCGGCATTGATGTCGTCATCTGTTCCAGGTCTTAGAATGCACAATGTTTCTAAAAAGCAGCCAACATTGTAATGAACGCCAAAGAGATACTAGTGAAATTTATGTTGATGCTCGCTAACTCTTCATTGGTGTGTTCTTGTGCCCTCAGTATGTCTTTCTAGACATAGTCAGAAAGGACTGTACTATAAACTAACTATTTAGAGGAGAGATGGCTCGGTGAGTAACAGCAATGGCTGAGTAAGCATATGGACCTATGTTCAGATCTCTGGACTCATAAAGAAAAAAACAAAACAGCGTGGCCACAAGTGCTATATGCCCAGTACTGTGGGGATCAGAGACAAGAGGTTACTGGGGCTTGCTGGTCACCAGCCTCGGTCCAAATACAGTGAAATACCTTGTCTCAGAGGACTGGTACAGAGAGCCAAACAGCAGGTCCGTGGATGTCATTCTTGGCCTCTGTACACACACACACACACACACACACACACACACACACACATCACCTACTTAGTTGGGGAGGGTGTAGCTCAGGGTTAGAGCACTTACGTATACAGGGCTCAAATCAACCCTCAGCACAAAGCAGGGACAGGGACCTACTTGTACATGGCTTCTAGTGGTTGGCCCTCAAATTCTCCTAGATCACTAATCGTTGAACTATGGCCCACAAGCTGTTTCCATGGGCAAGACATTGAGACACAGTCATTTGCTGCCGATACTTTCATGGTTCAACAGTCGAGTTAAGTGTTTGCAACAGACACCACATGGACCGTGAGGCCAGACAGTATATAACCGACTAGAACAGCGCTTGACAGCCCAGGCCCTGGACACTGCCTGGATGGAATAGTGTGCTTCTTTGTTCTTTGTTTTTGTTTTCAGGAATCTGTCTAAGAGAATCTAGGCTCCTACCTGAGACCGGTTGTTTTCAGGACTCTATTGTACAAACATGTCAGTGGCAACTTGATGACATTGTGCAGTGTGACAGTGTTGGGGCTCCGGAAACAATACCCTACAAGACGGGGCTTTGGTTTGCTGAGTTGTTTGAACTAAAGGGCATTTGACTAGCCTCTTCCTGCCTGTCTGCCACCTCTCTGACTCCAGGGCTGCTTCATTCCTCAAAGTGCGCCTTATAAAATAGAACTCCTCCCAGACCAAGGCAGATCACAGAAACTGGAGTCACTCTTCCCAAAAGCCAGGCATAGGACTTTGAAATATTCTGAGAATCTTCTTCCTTCCTGTGTTTGAGCTAGGTGGCCACAAATTTTTTCCTACTCGTATTGTCAGATAGCTACTTATAAGACCCTCATTCTAGAAAGGGCCCTACTTACACCCAGGAAGGAAGGATGCAGTCATACACAAACACACACACACACACACACTACTCAAACAGACAAGTTTTTCTGGGTCCCCTTTCAGCTGGTTGCCATTCATGAGGTCACAGGCTTTGATCCAGTCATGTTTTCCACAGCTGTCTATTTTTCATCAAATCCAAGCATAGAAGAAACAGTTCCCCTGGGTGCTTAGATCTCCATTTCTGAAGGTCCCCATGTCTTATAAAGCTCATTTTGAAAGATGTTGTGTGAGGCTATAGAGATGGCTCAGCAGTTAAGAGAGCGTCCTGCTTTTCTGGGGACTCAGGTTTGGTTCCCAGCAGCCACCATTGGTGGATCGCAGTCATCTGGTGCACACACACATACAGACACAGACACGGAAACACATACACACACTAATAGTAATAAGTAAAACAAAATGTTTAAAAGGAGATGTTATACTTTTCCGTTGTCAGTTCTTAGTTATAGGATTCTCATGATAGGTAAGAAAAGTGAATTAAAAAAAAAAAACTTTCTGCCAGGACACACCTTCAATAGACATACTGTAGAAAGAACGCCCTAAGGCTGAAGCACCATCCAGACAAGGTGTCACCTGTTTGTTTTTATATTTTTTTGCTATTTCTGTCTAAATCTGAAGAAGTGTCCTCTGTCCTCTTCCGAAGCTAACATCTCAACACTGAATTCCCCAGGAATCACGGATATAGAGGAAGTCTCCCAGTTTCTGACTGAGGGAATCATCATGAAAGATTTCAGTCACCCCAATGTTCTCTCACTCTTGGGGATCTGCCTTCGGAGCGAGGGGTCCCCTCTGGTGGTTCTGCCCTATATGAAACACGGAGATCTTCGAAATTTCATCCGAAATGAGACTCACGTGAGTACTTTATTAAGCTTAGTCCCTCGAAAATTAGCCGCCAGCTGGCCATTCCTTAAACATGTTTGTTTGATTGTTTCAATTTTTGGGAGGTGAGACGGGGCGTTTCTGTACTTTGGGCTGACCTAGTACTTACTCTGTAGCCCAGTCTGGCCTCAAATTCTCTGTAGTCTGCCTCTCTCGGCTTGCCGAATACTGACATTACAAGCCACGTGACACCACCTCTTGGCTTGTCTCCCCGGCCCCCCCCCCTTTTTTTTTTTTAAAGATTTTACTTTATTTTCACTTTATGTGTGTGAGTGTTTACCTGCGTGTATGTGTGCACAGTGTACATGCCTGGTACCCGGCACCCTACGAGGACATCATACCGCCGGGAACTAGAATTACAAACAATTATGAGCCACCATGTATGGGCAGAGCAACAAATCAAGTCCCCTGATGAAGCAGCAGATGCTCTTAACACTGAGACATCCTTCCAGCCCGTTTGTTTGTTCGCTTGGTTCTTTGTTTCGTGTACTGGGTGTGTGTACATGCGCCTATGGGAACACTTGCGCAGGGCAAAGTGAATGAATGACACTGGGCGTCCTCCTCAGTTCTTTCTCTACCTTAGTTTTTGAGACAAGGTCTCTCACTGAAAATGGAGTTCACCACTTTGCCTAAATTAGCTAGCCAGTGAGCCTCTAGGATCTGCCTGTCTCTGGCCCCTGCTCAGGAGTGAGTGAGTGAGAGAGTGAGTGAGAGAGTGAGTGAGTGAGAGAGACAGTGAGTGAGTGATTATCATACGCCATACCAATACCGCCCCACCTGGCTTTTAGGTGGATGCCAGGGGTCTGAATTCAGGTTCCCAGGCTTGGCAAAGCACACACTTTACCCCCTGAGCTATCTCCCCAGCTCTAACATAAGCATTTGAGTCTTACAAAAAAAAAACTCACCAGTCCAAGCCTCGGCTACGTAGTTAAATGCTGCTTTAGAAGAAGGAGGAATATCTCACAAATAATTTCTTATATTGATCAAATGTTGAAATACTATTTTAGAAAACTTGGGTTAAAAACATATTATGATATGTCTTATCTATCTTTATTAAAGTAAATGTGTATCTTACTGTATGTTATACCAAGTAGTGTTGTGCTAGACAATAAACAAATAGATAATCACTATAAATGTGTATGTTCACATACACACTAGCTCACGGAGTAGGAGTTTAGTGGATTTTGTTCACTCCTGTGTCTCCGGTGCTCAGCATGTAGGCTCCTAATAAATGTTAGTTGGATAAATGAGGGGGTTACAAAAAATGACTACAGCTTGTGTGGGTATAAGTTTTTCTTTTCTTTTTTTATTATATAAATGCAGGTTTATTTGGAGCAGCTCAGGAGGGGGAGGAAGAGAGAGAAAAGTGCAGAGAGAGAGGAGATCCAGAGAGAAGAGGAAAGACCCAGAAAGAGAGAGAGGAAAGATCCAGAGAGAGAGAGAGAGAGATGCATTTTCTGCATGACACTTATACCAGGACATGAGGTTGAGTGAGCTTTGGCCAGACCAGGGCTGAGGAGGGTGAAGTGAGGAGCTCCAGAACTAAACTGACCTGATGGCCTCAGGCTTGGCTAGTGCTGACACGGGCCCTGTGGGAGTCAACCAAGTGACTTTGCTCCTCATCAAAAATGGTTGCATAAACATGAAGCCAAATGAGCTCTAGGACATGAAAGACATCGTTTCTCTTCAGCCAAAATGATAAAACACCCTCAGGATGTCAATTTCTTTTTTTCAGATAAAGTGAACTGACATTTCACAAGCATCAGGTTAACTCTGTCATCTCTCTGATGAGTCAGTAAGTCAGTTTAGATATGCTACCTTTTCTGCAGCACTGTTTTCCCAGGATTAAAGCGTGAGAGAGATGTCCTACTGTCCATTACAGAACAGGAGCTGGCCTCCCGAAGCCCAGAGAGCAGTTATTGGCACCTAGCACATATGTCCTAAGAGGATGTCTAGGCTCCAAGATGTGGCCTGTCCACAGGCTGTGCACTAGCAGGGACCGCAGCCCATCTGTCCGGGTTCTCACTGAAATACTGTGCCACAAGCTCTATGATAGCTACTGAAGGAGAGACAGCCCATTATGGATAATAAGATCCTTCTTGGCAAATAGAATAGACACCGGAAGTGGCTGAAGAGAAGAAAAAGGACTGGACCCTACAATAGAGTTCCTCTGAAACACTCCACCCAGCAGGGATTCAGAGCAGGTTCTGAGACTCACAGCCAAACTTTGGGCAGAGTGCAGGGAGTCTTATGGAAGAGTGAAGGAATAGAAAGACCCAAAAGGGACAGGAGTGCCAGAAGGAAACCAACAAAGCCAACAAATCTGGGCCCAGGGGCGCCTGCAGAGACTGATACTTCAACCAAGGACCATGTACAGAGAGGACCTAGACCCTCTGCTCAGTTGTAGCCCATAAGCAGCTCAGTCTCCATGTGGGTTCCCTAGTAAGTAGAGCAGGGGTTGTCTCTGACATGAACTCCATTGCCTGCTCTTTGATCACACACACATACCCAAGTCGGGTGGCCTTCCAGGCCACAGAGGAAGAGGATGCAGGCAGTCTCCATGAGACTTGATAAGCTGGGGTCAGATGGTAGGGGAGGAGGGTTCCTCCATTCTGAGGAATAGGGGAGGGGGCTGGGGGAAGAGGGAGGGAGGGAGATACAATCAGGATATAACATGAGTAAGTTATAAATAATAAATTTAAATAAAAATAAAGTGCTGTATTTGTGAAGAATACTATAGTGTGAATCAGTAACAACATAGTTTTAGAGAAATAAAGTTTTATGAGAGTTTCTACATAAAAAAAAAAAGACGCTTTTCAGGGCTGTCAGACACAGTGAGATCTGTAACTTCAGATTTCAGTCCTCCAGTTACTAAAGCCTTCTCTCTGCTCCTGCAGCTTTGGGGGTGACACTTGCAGAGCAGGGGATGTCCCTGTTGTCTGTGCTGGCGGCTAACTGGAGCTTTAGTTCCCATGAGCTTCCAACAGACTTCAGTGATCTCCTAACAAACCACTTAGGAGAGGTTTGATTTTTCCCTGAGATCTTCTGCATTTACCAAGCTGCTTTGGCATCCAGAGCCTTGCTGACCACTAGCGGGATTGTCCCTTTGGGGCTAACTTGTTGAAGTAGCCTTTAGGGTGTGCCTTTCAAAGGCAAACCAACCCATGCAGCAACCTCTTCCTCACCTATCCTCCTAGGGCCAGGCCTGAGGAGACCACAAGAGACAGCCCTATCTGCAGAGCCTGCTCCAACTGTTTAAAGGAGCCAAGGCTGCTCTTGTCCCACACCTTCCCAGGGAAACTACAATGAAGTATCTCACCCATGCTTTTCCCTCACCGCCTCCTGACTATCCCTGATGATACTTTCCCACAGAGCCCTGCACGTGTGGTGTGCTACATTCTTTTGTAAACTGGGAGAAGTAAACTATCTTTTCAACAAGATCAATCTCCTGATCAATTTGTCAAAACCTATATTTCAAAACATCTGTATTTGCCCATCTGGAAAATAGAGACTGTAACAGCACCCAAACAGAAGTGTGTATGAAATAAATAGAATTTACAGAACTCATCTAGACTGGAGCTTTGTATACAGTACTACGTAACAAATAGTTGTGGCTCTCCACAGGGCATGAATTATTATTTGAGACAAGATAAGTCATATAAACATTGCCATATTCTGAGATCACTGTTAGAACACTGAGTGCTTAGTTTATGCTTTTCCGACTCTCTTTGATTGCAGAACCCAACTGTAAAAGATCTTATAGGATTTGGTCTTCAAGTAGCCAAAGGCATGAAATATCTTGCCAGCAAAAAGTTTGTCCACAGAGACTTAGCTGCAAGAAACTGCATGTAAGTATGAAAATGTCTCTGTTCGCAAAGTACAAATGAAGTGTTTGTTTCTCCCAAGTAGAGATGTTTTCTCAGCGAGAAGTCGGTCTTTCCTGGCCTAGTTGAGTGGATGTGTAAGCCCCTGGGTGTAGGTGGGGCTTTTAGTTTTATCAAACAAAGCATTTAAAAGGTTGCTCCGCAGGGGATCTCCAACAGCTGCTGTGTACTCCAGCTTTTCTGGGTCCTTCCCACCAGCACTCTCCAGTGTTGTGGTTTCACACTGTATTAGTGTTCGGGGGAGAGAATTTGATCTTCAGCGTTTGACAGTGAAAAAGAAAAGCTGGCTAACAGGAATACCCGGGTAGCGTAACTCCCAACAGCAGCTTTGAAATCAGCCTGCAGAAGCAGCGCTACCAAAAATGGTATCCGGGAATGAATATACAAAGACTTTTTATTTGGGTCTGGCTGCCTGGCTGTGGAACAACAGTCAACAGTTTATAACTGGGTCCCTGCTTTCCCTCGAAGAGCACAGATTCATGGCTCGTGGTATGTGTGAATGAAAGAGCTATGCTATTAGTTTTCTACCTGGCTTTCGCTCAGGCTAACATCATAAAAGTATGCTAAACAAAGGATACACAGCCTTAGTTAGGAGAAAGCGTTTGTCTTGGCGTCGTTGTTTTTTAACACGACAACTTTCCCAGGTGCTTTGCCTTCTCTCTCGTTACCTCACTGATGGCACCTGGGAGTTTTATGTGCTGGCTAGCTTATTTTAGAACAACAACAAAGTAAAATAGCAGTTCCATAGCCTGTCCATTCCATGGAACATACTGTGAGTAAGATAACTCAGGAAGACTGCTGATGTCGGTGACTGCATTGGGTAGGCCTGATGCCCTGTTTATTTTGCATCCAAGGAAAGCTAGGTGGACTCTGGCTTTACCTTTTTTCCAAACCTACAATACAGCAAAATGCCATGTCATTCGTAATGTCTTTCTTCAGCCGGTGGAATTTGTAATGTAAATGTCAAGCATTTTTATTCAGGAATTCCACTGTAATTTAGCGTCAGTCAATAGGCCAGGGGAAATTATGGATCTCTAACACTGGAGGTACTTTTTAAAATCTATAGACATTCAGCACTGTTGTAAATTATTCTACTTCAGTCAGTAATGATTTTTCTCCTGTAGGTTGGATGAAAAATTCACTGTCAAGGTTGCTGATTTTGGTCTTGCCAGAGACATGTACGATAAAGAATACTACAGTGTCCACAACAAAACAGGTGCAAAACTGCCAGTGAAGTGGATGGCTTTAGAGAGTCTGCAAACACAGAAGTTTACGACAAAGTCAGATGTGGTAATGTAGTCCTCATTCCTAAATTTCTCTTTCTTTCCCATAGTTATGTATGATAACATGTTTATTTTTTAATACCATTAATTGCAGTGTATCTTCATGTGTAAAACTGGAATTGATTGTCCAGTACATAACAAACTATATTCAGGAATTCTCTTGTTTATTCAAAAATACTTGTTGACTGAAGCATTCCCCCCCCCATGACCCGGTAACCTCTTAGAGGCCCTGTCTCCAAACACCATCACACACAGATATCTAGGCTAATGATATTTTTATGAGAGTCCAAAAGAAGTCATTTGAAAGAATCTACACACTAAGGTGAGCAGGCAGGTAGAAAGCCTGAAGTCCTAGGAGTGTCTACCATGGAAGCCAGAGGAAGAGAAAAATGTCAAAAGGGATGTGGGTGGAGGAAGCAGCAAGGTCACTGTCCTCACTAGTTCAAAAGAGCCTTGACCTTGTTTGGCCTCTTAGGACTTGAATGGTTTCTGAGGCTACAGTATCCTTGGAGTGTGAGTGCTGCATGAAACCCAAGTACACTGTCTTCTCACATGCAGCAAGTCTGGACAAGTGTGATGGTTAGCTAGAAAAACATTTGATGGTTTACCCTGAAGGATGCAGCCACAAATCTGTGCCATCAGCACACAAGACATCCTGGAGATGTCCCTGGAGGATGTGACCTTCAAAAGAGAATGTTGGCAGCTGCAGAGAGATGACGTGGGATGGGGACTGAGGGTACTAGTGAGAAGTCATCTCATTCCCTTGTCAGCCAGCAGAGAAGGGGGCACTCTATGGGCCAGTCAAAGAAGTAGTGCTCATCTAGGTTCTGACCCTGTGAGGAAGAAGCATAGTGAAAAGAGACTTGTGGGCACATGAGATGAAAGAAAGGAAGAAAGAAAGAAAGAAAGAAAGAAAGAAAGAAAGAAAGAAAGAAAGGAAGGAAGGAAGGAAGGAAGGAAAGAGGGAGGGAAGTGGGAGGGAGAGAAAGAAAGAAAAGAAAGAAGAGAGAGAGAAGAAGAAAAAGGAAGGAAGGAGGAAGGAAGGGAAAGAGAAAGAAGAGAGAGGGAGAAGGGAGGGAGAGAGAAAGAGAGAGAAGGAAGGAAGGAAGGGAGGGAGGGAGGGAGGAAGGAAAGAAAGAAAGAAAAGAAAGAGAGAGAAAGGGAGAGAGAGGAAGGAAAGGAAGGAAGGGGGAGGGAGGGAGGGAGGGAGGGAGGAAGGAAGGAAGGAAGGAAGGAAGGAAGGAAGGAAGGATAAGGTAAGAGCATACCTATCCTCAGAGAATATACTGTTCATTCAGACTTGACCACCAGAGTAACTACTAGAGAGAACCAGTGTTAACAAGTCAATAGCAAGGAGACAAGATGAAACAACCCTTTTTTTTTTATAGACAAAAGACTGAATGGGCATTATACCAAATACATGCGTGACTCGTTAGCTAATAAACACATGAAGGAAAAGCATGCCCACACAAAGATTTACATGTAAATGACTGTAGTACTATTCTTTAAAATTGCTCCCAAATCAGAACATCCCTAGAGAATGGGTCATGAAATGTGACTGACATACCTTATGCTGTACACATGCCTCAGTCTGAAAAGTGCTTGCTATGTAGGGATAGAACCTGAGTGTAGTCCCTAACACCCACGTAAAAGCCTGGCAAGGCAGTGCATACCTGCAGTTCCAGCCCTGGGGTGGCAGAAACAGGGACAGGACAATACCTGGGGCTCACTGTCCATCTTGTCTACTCAAACTGGTGTGCTCCTGGTTCCGTGAAAATTCCTGTCTTCAAAATATGAAGGTGATGGGGCTTAAAGAAATGGCTCAGCAAGTTAAATGCATTTATTGCTCTTCCAGCATTTATGTAGCAGCTAACAACCTTCCATAAATCTGGTTTCAGGGAATCCAACACCTTCTTCTGGCCTCTGTGGGTACCAAGTACATGGTAGGCAAAACACCTGTACATACAAAATAAAAATAAGGTGGATAGCCATTAAGGAAGGATCTCTGGCCTCCACACACATGCATGCACACACACACACACACACACACACACACACACACGCTTATATGCCTACATGATGCAAAGCCACTGTGCAGTATACGAAAATGACTGGCATATGCTGTAGTGCAGATAAAAGGTCCAAAATTATGTCAAGTGAAAGCAAGCAGGCTCGAAAGATAAAATGACCAATGATTCCACATTTGAGAAATTTTTAGAAAGCAGAGCCATAAACAAAACAGATCAGTGGTTGCCTGTGGTTAAGAGTTGGAATGGGTACTGATTACAGAGGGAACGTTCTGGGGTGTTCCAAGTGAGCTAAAACTGGATGGCAATATTATCTATAACCTAGCTGAAATTTCCAGCGTCTTTGATTATAACCGATAATCAGGTAGTTCTATAACCTGTAAAGTAGACGCCAGCAAGAAAAGCCTATCCTGAGAACACAAACACTAAAACAAACTTTTAAAAGAAACCGCAGAATGTCAGTGCAGTCTCTCTCCCTCTCACAGAAAGACACTGTGCCGGTGCCAGCCAGCAGGGTCGAACGGTTCTTGAGTCGGGAGTGAGGATTAATATTATTTAAATAAACACACAGCACACAGGAAACTTTTTTAAAGGTCCAGATGTGACAGCCACAGCAAAAGGCAGGCTGCTGCAGCAAGCAGTACAAGCAGCAAGTCTCAAGTCTCTGCCTCCTCCTCTGCCTCCAGCCCTCTGTTTCCTAACATTTAGATTTCCCACATTATACTTGCTTTTTGTGAAATCTTAGGTCTGGTTCATGCTCCACGTCCTCCAAGCTCTCTCCTCCAGCTCTGCTCTCCTCCTGCTCTCTCCTCGTGCTCCTCCTCCTTCTCACCCCTTCCTGTTCTCTAGCTCCTCCCCTCTTTTCTGTCCTCTGGCTCCTCCCATTGCACAACATTGTATCTAGTTGCTTTATTTGTGTCCTGTTTACACAAGAGTTGAGACAGGATGCTTGGAGCATCATCTTCAGCCTTCTTCTGCAGCAACTGTCGGCCTGTCTTTTTATTGTAGAGTTTCTAAGCCAGAGTAGAAATATCTCAGAACAATGGTTTAAATTCCATGAGGAGCCTGAGGAAGAGGTGTGATCCTCACAAGCTATCCTACCTGCTGTCACAAACAAAAGGAGATGGACTTGCAAATTCTACCCTGCCTTTAGAGAAGGTCCGGTAAAAGCAGTCTCTCCACTGAGATTTTAAATATCAAAGCAGCTGCCAGAGGCACCGCTCCGACAACACTGTACTGAGATATGTAAAACACACACAATGCTGCTTTGACAAACAATCGCTAATTGCATGGAATAATTTGTGTAAAGTTTCACTTCAAAGGCAGCATTCATAGTCTTTTGAATGTTGACATGGAACATTTCCAAAACTATGTAGTAAACTGAAAGTAGATGGAGTCCTACAAGCAGAAAAACGTGCCTATGTATATATAGGTTCTCTGTTTTAGCCAATGCCCAGGTCAAGTCTGGCCACACCAAATACTCTTAGGTGTATTCAAATCAGACAGGCATCACATCCCGTGAAATTACTCCTGCCCAGCAGTGCTGTTCAGTGGCTCTCACCTCGAACAACCTCTTCAGTAAAGTTCACATCCTCACTTGTTCAGCCCAGCTGGCTTTTTTGGCCCCCATTCTGCTTCATCTTTCAGAAGGCACCACCCATAGTCATCCAGCCCTTTCTTGAAATACCCACTTCTTTTGGCTTCTAGACACTGTGCCACATACTCCTTGGTTGTACTTTTTTTATTCTTAAGTAGCTTTCCTTCAGGATCTGTTCAGGAATCCAATGTCCCAATAGTTGAGATCATTCTATCAGCAATGACTTTTGACCCTTGTCTGAAGGTCAGCCTCAGCATCAGGACTTTCTTACACTCAAAATCAAATTCTTTCATCATCCAGCAAATCCTTAACCAGATGCCATCATTTTGCGATGTTCCTACTGCGCATCTTTTTCAGTGGACCTTTTTAGCACTTCATGTTTTAACAGCGGAAGACAATTGTGTCACCATTGCCACCACAATCTGGGTATAAAACAGTTCTGTCACCCTAAAAATGTCCTTGTGCCATTTTATAGTCAGCCTCTCTCAGGGCCTGGAAATCACCGACTTTTCCTGGAATGTTATATAAACAGAATCATAATCTGTGCCTTTTATGTCTGTCGACTTCACTCGGAACAGTGCGTTGGGAACATACATGTTGCTCTGTCAGTCGTTTTTTTGATAGGTGGGTTCAGTCTTTAGTTGCTTGAAAACTCATGAAAGTTACCATTTTGTCCGTATTTAGGCATACGTTAGGCAGTGTTCACTGTGATACTTTTGACATGACAGATCCCTAAAACTTTCTCTTCGAGCAAGACTGAGGGGGCATCAACTGAATAAAAACTTTTCATTTTTTCTCCAGATCTTGGCTATCCTTCCACTTTTGCCTTTAGGAGTTCAACTGTATCAGGTACCTCATAGAAGTGAAACGAAACATTTGTCCTTTTATGAGTAGCTTGTTTCACTTTATGTGATGTTCTCAAGGTTTAGCCATGTTGCAGCATATGATAAGACTTACTTCTTTTCTATGACTGACATTTTAATGTGTATATAAGCCTCATCTTCTTCATTCATCCATTATTAGGTGTCTTGCTCCTCATGGCTGTTATGAATTGTGCTGCAATGAACTTGCAGTAAGCAAATTGTTTGTTCTTTTTAGTTGTGTTAGATATATGCCCAGAAGTGGGAATTTCTGAACCATCTACTAGTCCTAGTTTCTTTCTTTTTTTTTTCAGTAGCATATTCCATAGGAAGTAGTTTGTCCTTCTGAGTAGTGGGTTACTGTATACATAAACCATTTAATTTGTTCACTTACCAACTGAAGGATTCTATTGTTCAGCAGTTAACTATACATAATTACAATTGTCAAGACATTTGCTTAAAGGTTTTTGCATATTTTTCTTTGGTTTTAGATGTTTAGAAGTAACACTCCTATAAGTTCAATATTTTTTAAGACAGTGCCAAATATCTTAGAGAATGTCTATATCATTTTATCTCCCCACTGGTGATCTCTGTGAGTTCCAGCCTTTCAGCCTTTTAGCATTCTCACTCACACTTGGCATTGTCAGATTTTGGGAGGTTAAGTCAATTTAATAAAGCTGGGTTTTCTTTTTTAGTCTCTATTTCACTAATGACTACTAATGTTGAGCATAGTAAGTGTCTGCTGTCCCATTCTTGTAATTTTTGGTGGAATGTCAGTTCTAACCCCTTTTGTTTTGAGTTGTTGAGTTGCATATTCTGGGTACAGGTATGCCAACAAGCATGTGTTTTCTGATAGTCTAGTACAATGCTTTTCTGGAAGCTGTGTCCCTCTAATTTTTGTCCTATAAATCCACCAACTTCTGATGTCATTGCCTAAGATGTAATCTCTATTCCCTCTCCTGTTATTGTATTTTTTTAAATCTATTTTATGTTCTTTTCCCCCCTTCCTCCTTCTCCAGCCCAATCCCTTCTAACACCCCAATACTGGGTAGGAGAAAAAGGTTAGTGGGGAGAGGGAGTGGAGTTCTCTTTAGCTACTTCCTGCTGGTTAGGGCTGTCAGGTTCCTTGGGAAAAGAAAGTTCAACCTTCGATTCAGGATATCTCTGACTTCTCCTCAAACTGCAACAACAGTAACCACAAGCAGCAGGGGGGAGCACCAGCAGCTTTCTTTTTTATCGGAACTCCTCAACACTCTCTGGCCTCTGGCATTTATTCTCTCTCAGAATTCTATCTGCAGCTTTCAAAGAGCCCTTCTCAGAGCCCGCATGAGGCAAATAGTCTGCTGCTGTGGACAATCTGAATCCGTCCCTATTGCACACCTGGGATCAAAACAAAAACATGTTATCTGTAACACTGTCCATTACAGATCCTGGACCTGATCGGCCTGCAGCTCTGGCCTTGCAACACCGATAGAGTTATTCACACTTCCAGGTTATGATCGTTGTTAATCCAGTGTAAGGATTAAATATGATAACAGTGTGGGAAGGGCGTGGTGCCTGCACTATCTGCTACAGATATGTCAGACGCCCTTCAGCCATCAGACTTGGAGTAAGGCTCCGCAGGCTTGCAGGCTTCTTACACTGAAGCACATGCCTCTGTCCTTATTCAGAATTCTCCTTCTAAGGATTTGTGAATCAGCTTCTCCATTTTTTTTTTCTTGGACAAGGTCTTATTCATGTAGTCCAGGCTGGACCCAAACTCACAGTGTAGCTTCGGGTGACCTTGGACTCCTGATCCTCTTGCTTCCACCTCCCAGATGTTAGAATTATAGGCATGGGACACCGTGCCTGGTTCTATGTGTGCTGGAGTGGAATCCTGGGCTTCATGCACTCTACCAACTGAGCCATGTCGCCAGCCCCTAGATCCTTCTGTCACCTTAAGCATGTTCGTGGTCATGGTCTCCATGCACACAGATGAATTTCAGCTTAGCCTATTTTCAACATTTGCAAACCTCCCCTCGAAGTTTTGTTTTAAACGTATTTCCCCGGCATCTGCTCCACAGGTTAGAAGTGTGACTTCTCCAGTACTAGAAATTCAGTAAAAACACAAATATATGCTGCTTTTGGAGGGAGCTAAGGGCTTAAGACAGGGTCTCTAGTAGTTCAGACTGGCTGTAAACTCATTAATCTTCGACCTCAGCTTCCACATCTAGGAGTTCAGATGTGTGCCACCATGCCCCAGCTTCATGTGTGCCCTCTTGCTGCTGCATCACTCCATCCAGAAGGCTGGTGCCTATACCTCCGAGACAATTTTTGCCTCTTCCTTGAGATTCATTTTCTTCTGACTCTTCCCATAATGTCTCTGGGTGCCCTTTCATTTTACACAACAGCTGTACCTCTTTTCTAGCATCAATCTCTATTTCAGCTGTGTTTTTATTGCACAATACTGTTTAATCAGCCCTGGGACCTATCTAGTAACTTAGACAGTGACCCACTTGTACAGGATCAAAGGTCAATAGATATTTGTTCAGTGGACTTAAATTTTAACTCAAATTCTACAGCTCAAGCGTTTGCGCCGTAATAACATTACAGAGTAAGATTTACCTGAAAAACATGGATGAGAGGCTGAGTTGACAGTGACATTATCTACCTCCCTCCTGGAGGGTATTTGATCAAAGCATTCAGTGATCTTAAAGACTCTTGAATAGGCCAGTGTGGCTTGCACTTATAACCCAGCCCTCCAGGGGCAGAAGTGGGAAGGTTGCTGCCAGTTTAAGGCCAAACAAGACTACAGGGTGAGCAGTCTCCCCATTCCTAAGAAAGAGGTTAGGGGAGCTCTTAAGGCCTATCGAGGTGGTTTGGTGGATAGGGGTGCTTACCCACCGGTCTGATGACCTCCCTGCTCCCCACCCCCATCCCACAAGGCAGGACAGAGCTGAATTCTGGGAGTTATTCTCTGACCTCTACACACTCACCATAGCATGTGTGCATTTTCACACACATATAATGATAAATAAATCATTTGAAGAAATGGGGGGGGGACTCTTGTACAGAGCAGAGGAAAGAGCCATTAACGTGATTGCTTCGGCAACTCCAACTAGAGAACTGACCCTGGAGTTCTCTAGTTTCCCTCTGTCTCGGGGAGTCAAAGACATGTATTATTCTCCTTGCAAAACACGTGACTCCTGCCAGCCCTTTTTATGTCTGGTGCTAACTTCGTTCTGTTTGCTATGGATTTTCTTTCTCTAGCACACACACAGCACCCACCACCACCCAGACTTCCTACTGGCTCTTTTGTATGGAAACGGCCTGAAAAGGTTGCTTAGAAAGAACTAATGTTCTGAGCCCCGGCACAGGCGACCTGCACGCGCTGACTTACCTCTTTGTCACCTGTCACCGTTGTCACGTATCTGGGGCTAGGGCAGGGGGAAAGATGCACTTGACCTGTGCTATTCTGTGCAGGAAGCTTTAGACCGAGAAAATGCATCTCTGTGAAGTGCAATAACACAACATGATCTGAAGGTCAGGAACTCTTTGAATGTTTGTGTCACTGCGAATTCAGATATATTTGGGGATTTTTATGGCTCGCCCAACCCCTCCATGTCCCTCTGTTCTGATAAAATACTGATACAGCTGTTTCGCATTCATCTGGCAGTGTTAGCATTTTCAGATTCATTGGAATTAGTTTTCAATAGAAAACTGTGTTGCCTAGCAATATGATTAGTTCTGCTTTTAATACAGATTTTTTACTTACACTGATTTAGAACTTCCCTTTTTACATTAACATTTAGACTCGGTGACATTTCCCCCTTTTCTGCATGTGTATGTGAGCTTGGTGTGTGTGCCTGTCTGTACATGTGTGTATAAGTGTGTGTGCTTATGGAAGCCAGACGTTGATACTTGGTGTTTTTCTCAGTCTCTCTTCATTATATTTACTGAGGCAGGATCTCTTGCTGAGCCTGTAGCTCTTTGTTTAACTAGCGTAACTAGCCAGTTTGCCCCCAGAGATCCCCTGTCTCTGCCTCCCAAAGTCTGAGACTGTAGACAGACTGCCATGCCTGCCCATGTTTTGTGAGGCTGGAGATAAGAACTCTGGTCCTTATGATTTCATAGCAAGCGCTTTTGTCCTTAGATATAGTTACCATTCCTGTCCCTTTAAATGCATGTACTTTGGGGCTTTTGTGTGCCTGCGTACCACGTGTATGCCCAGTGTCCGAAGAGGCCAGAGGAGGACTTAGATCCCTAAAGCTGAAGATAGCTCAGCAGCTATCAGCAGTGACTGTTCTCGCAGGGGACAGGGTTCTTTACCCAACAGCCGTATCAGGAGCTCACTGTCCACCTATCACAGTGTCAGGGGCTCTGATTTCGTCTGGCCTCCATGGGGATCTGTACCCACATGGTGTACATAAACTCACACAGCCACACAAGCATGTATAAACAGAATTTTTAATCCGTTTTATTTCTGGAAGGTCATTTTTATCTATAAAAATCTAAAATTGTTAAAGGAGACTGCTCATCGGAGTCTGAAATCTCAGTGCTGGGTTGAAGTTTTTAAAATCACTTTTTTTTTTTTGTGAGGAAATGATACAATGAAGTTTGAAGATTTCTCA